TTTCGGAGCGAGTTCCGGCCGGAGTGGGGAAGAAGAACTTACGCCATGAACGAAACAGACAGAGACTACACCGTAACATAACGCATTTTTGAAACATGGATATAAGAGAGAGCCTTGTTGCCGCTCGCCGTGCTTATTGTTCACCTTCAGGATGAATTCTGGCAAGTAGCGGGAGCAATTCATAAACAGGCAGATGGGCATCTGAACCAACATTGTGAAAGATGTTTGCAGAGTTTTTTTGCTTTAGGTTTCTAAGCGCATCGAAATGCAGTTTTGGTGTTTTTATGGCTGGGATGGTGCCAGCTCAGGTAACCAGAGGACTGGAAAAGTAATTGGTGTTTTCCAAATGTACGTGGATGTCAGCTTTGCAGAGACCAGACTCTGAAACTTTTGAGTAAAGAAGCACTTGAATCTAGAAGTTGGACTCTTCTAAGAAGAGACTGTTTTCTTACTGGTAGCAGTTTTTTTTGCTGATCATTGGAAGAGATGCTGCAAAATGTTTTGGCGGTTTTCGGATGGTGGCCGTTTCCCACACGAACGGCTGTTTCCTGTGGCAGGCCGTTTCCACCCCTGGCCCACCTCCGCGCGGAAGAGAAGTGATTTGGGACGGATGTTGAGCAAGAATTCTGGCTTCACTTCTTGAACGTGTGGTGATTAAGACTGTCAGTTTCAGGTTTCGCAAACAAGAATTCTGAAACGCCTTGTTGTCAAAGCAAATTCGTTCGAATTGTGTTCACGTTCACCTTGCATTAAATCCGATTCGCTTGAAGAGACATTTGATTTTGCTTGCATGAGCACGTCTGCTTGGTCTTGTGAGCAAGTCTGTTTGGTTTTGCAGGCAAGAGCAAGAAGCAATGTGTTTCGAATTAGATATCCATTTCATGGCATCAGAACGACTGGTTTACTCATGTCAGTCTGCTACGTTCAAGTTTTGTTGGCTTTATGTGGCCTCTTGTTGATAATTGGAGGTTGACGCGACTTGTGATCCTCGGGTTGCCCGGACAACGCTTCCTTCGCTTCCTTCTGGATCTTCTTGTTCCTTGAAGAAAACGTTTTTTGCTTGGCTTTTGAGTTAAGGATCACACGAATTGGCGAGAGGGAGTGTCAAACACGAAGACAAGAAACTGAAATAAATATGAGACACGAAGGAAACAGCCAGACATATTCGCTTTGGGAAGGGCAAAAAGCGAAGAAAACATATTGAAACGGAGTTGAATCTGTTTTCTAGTTTTCACCAAGCGAAGCGTAATAATGCAACGTTTTCCGACATTGAGATCCAATGATCTATGCTGTCCGAAATCGCATATTCTGGCACTGCTGAGAATTGTCGGTGGCGAAAGCATGTGGACATTGAACAACGAGTGTATGTGTCGGCTCGACAGGACACATTTAGTTCATATTGATATTGTCTACGTAGTTTGCCAACAGCAGCGACAACTGCAGACAGATTTGTGGTTCATTTTTCGTTCAAAACATGAAAGGATTTATTGAGGTATTGGGTTTCTTTAAATTAAGTACTCGTTCTAGCATATCACACCAAATGAGTTCGTCAAATCCTGCTGGTGCCCCTGTTACATCGTCCAGTACTCAGATTCCCGCAGAAAACGGACTCGGAGCTGCTGCTTTGACGACTTCAGGGCGTTGGGTTCTTTGGTTGCGGAAAATGAGTTGGTTCATTTCCTGAAGCTTGCGCGGTCTGGGGCTCGGATGTACGTGTTTCTTGGAAAAAGTGCCAGGCGTGTGTTTGGAGGCCGGAGTGGTCGAAGCCACGACGCAGAGGACGTAGCGACATCGTCCGTGTGCTAGCGAAGCTGAAGGCTGGAGTACTCAGATCACAAGCGCACCAATGCAGCACTTGCGATAGTCGCGACACATGACAGGCTGTTGGTGTCAATGATATCGACACATTGATAAGGAAAGTGGAGAAGAACACCATCAACGAGGACAGCAGTGTTTTGTTTGTGTGTGCCGATGTTGAGTGTGTCGACGTTAGATTGCGACCTTGCATGCAGGAGTTGTACAATAAAGGCCTCATGCCCTTGAGTAGGGCAGCGCTGGATTCCATCCGGAAGCAGAAGACGTTCATGCAGGTCTGCAAAACCAGAGCTGCAGTTAGGTTCGTTACGTGATTGCACAGTCTGCCCTGCATTCTATGAAACTCGCCAGAGCCTTTTCATGTTGTCGTGGATCAAACTGTCATGCTGTGCAACATTTGCCATCACCAGGCGCTTGAGTCTGTTGACGTTCCGAACATCCGACAGGCGGAAGATTCGTTCGTGTTGTTGCGAGCTTATCTTTGGACTGTCGCGCTGAGAAGGTTGGTGTTTTCGACCCTGTGGCGCAAATGCTGCCGGCTTCTCAGAACGTGGAAGCACTGCCACAACAGAGCTTCTAAATACCCTGAGGTCTCGGAAGCCTTTGCCAAGTATTCATCTCAGCGAAAGACGCCAGTCCTGTTCAACTGCTGGGCATTGCATTGAACATTTTGCGATGTTGGTTGCGGCCTGTGTTGTAGCCTCCAGGTGCCTCCAGCACTTTGCGTGGACGATCGTCTCCTTCCAAAAGAAGTGAAGAAGGCACGTTCACGATTGGGTCGCTCTGCCGCTACGCGCCGCAGGGGGACTGATCAGCTTTTTTCGTTCTGCAAGCCTTGTTTCTCTTGCCAGGGAGGAAGGCTTTACGGCAAGGATGCACTGGCCTGTTTGTGTAGATTGCCCCAAGATGCAAAAGATTTTTGGCATTTACGGATGATGCGCCGGCCTCAGTGTCAGGCTTGCCGGCCAACACGATTGGAGGGATGACTGCCCCGCCGCCGCCTGAGCCTCGCCCAGCTCAGCTGGCCCTGGCCTGAAACGAAGGGAAGCACCGGAAGTGCAAAAAAAAGGCAAGCTGGTGATGACATCTCGCCGTTCATCCCGGATCTGCTGCCACCGGGAAAGCGCAAGCCCTAGGGGAGAAGCTCCGACTGCCGAGAGTATTTCGTGCATGGCAGCGGTGGCCTTTGTGAAGCTGGTGTAAGATTCATGTCTTTCCTGGGGTTCAATTTAAGTTGGTTCAGTTT